AAAAAAAAAAAAAAAAAGACTGAGAAAATTAAGAACAGATTAACAGACTGGGGGGAGACGTAGTTTTGGTTTTTGATTGTTTTGATTGTTTTGTTGGTTTGTTTGTGTATAGTTTTGTGTTTGTTTTGTTTGGGTTTTTGGTTTGTTTGTTTTTTAATGGCAGTGCCCACTCTGGAAGGCTCAATTTAAGCATTGCATTGCTGTTTCCCCAGCAATGTTATTTTTTTGCTTGTTAATAGCCACTAAGTACCTCCAGTGAACCATCATATCCTCCATCAACAGAGTAATGGACGAGGTTTTCTTTTGTAAGTCTTTAACTTAACTTCAGTCATCCAACCATAAGAGAAAACTGTCTTGAGACCAGTCTTGGAAGTTAAAACGTGGGGCCATCAACTGGATGAAGAAGAGGGCTTTAAGCTGCAGTGAGCTCACAAAAAGAGCATAAATATACTGAGGGGTACAGGATTTCTGCTCAGTGACAATTTCTTCACCTAGATGATACTGTCTTAATCTGAAATTGGGAATTTGGAGCTTGATTCAAAAGAACACAGGGAAAGCCACTTCTTTATAGGGCAAATTACATAAAATGACAGAAAATATACTTTAGTAGGAAATTCTATTTTTTACATAAGGAAATATGTTGTAAGATAGCGTTTTTGCTCAGGTTGCAAGTTACTTCCTGAGGGAAGCAGACAAGCACTTCAAGATTCCCTCCAAGTATCCACTTCAGAGACACACGTAAGTGAAAAGATTTTTTCTTCATTCTGTTTTCACCTTGTGACAACACTTGATTTCAGCTCTGTTTCATGGTATGTAATTTATCTCTGAAATGCCAATGCCTATAGCTTCATTTCAGGTTGTTGATGTTGAACTTCACCAACAGAAGATGTAAAGCAAGTAACTTTGGTTCTTAAATAGAAAAATCTCATTGTGGTTCACACCATAAACATGGCAATTTAGAAAATTGACCTGGTATCAGTGTAATGTCAAATTAGAAATGCTGCCCATTCTTCTAAGCTCCTTAGTTCTCCTCTGAATCTCTTCCACTCTTATCTGTGTCAAAATAGTTGCAAGCCACTGTTGGCACTTAAAGAGGAATGTCCTTCTACAAATAGATGATCTTTCTGAAGCACTATTTGCTGACCAGGGGGTAGAAAGCAAAAGGGAGGAATTGTTTTGCTTTCTTAAGGCACAGGTCTGCATGCACCAGGAGAACTGAGAGGAATCCAAGAATGGAAATACTTCTGTTTATCTGAGATTGAAGTTTTCCTTCTCTCCAGAACTCATTTTACTGATGATCCCCCTCCTATTGCCTCTGTCCACTTTGAAATGCATTATTATGTCTCTAAATATGGTACAAATTTTACAATAATTTTTTTCCCTCCTATTACAGAAGTTTTCATCTCATTCAAAACCTAGAACCCCAAATCAAAATGCATTACGATCGATACCAGCCTCAGTCACTCATTGGTATGGAAACTACAAGATAAGATTTTCTGTATAAGGGAATAGAGTGCTGTAACACAAAATCAAGACAACTGATGATGATTTCTCATCCTAATCTAGTTTCCTATAATTTTCCTGTGATTTTAAAGTTTAGTTGCTGTATTCAAAAAATTTTCAGTTACATATTTATTCTGTATATATGTATATATTTATTTACCAAAAGTAAGGCTGACAAAGAAAGCTAGAAAAGTTGGATTATAAGTAAAATGGTTATGTATGCCCAGAGCTATTTTCAATTTTCTGTGGTCATTTTGGGAATTTTGCTTATTTTTTTTTCCCTTTTTCCTTTCTTCTTTTTAAGTGTGATAACATAAGAAGAGCTCAATTTTCATCAGGAATACTGTCAGAAGATTAAAAGATTTTTCTGGTGAACTATCTAATCTATCCAATTTGTGGGCACAGTGAACAAATACACAGTAAGTAGGGATTTCACAGAATAGTTACTAAAATATTATGAAATCTTAAACATAAAAGGAAGGTGCAGCAAAAATACATAATTTCACTGGAGATTTACATAAAAATAGAAACCAATTCTTTCACTGTCCATCTATAAGGCACATATTCTGAATTTAACTCCAACATGCAAGTGGATCTGCTCCATATGTGCAAAGAAATCCATGTGTGTATGTATAGACAATAACATGTATGCACAGACCCACACACACACATTACTTTTTCAGTTGAATAGAAAATCCAATCTTGTAAATAATAGCTACCTTGCAGCAGTTTCATACACACCACTTCCATTTTTATATAACATCAAATCCATGCAGTATGCTGAAAGGAAGAATTATGTACAAAAAGTCAAATTCGGCCCTTTTTGACTATTTCTTCAAGTGAAAAAAGTGAGACGGTGATGAACTTTACTGGCTTTGAAGACAGCAGTAAACTAGAATTTCAGATATACTCAATCCATAAAAATATAGAACCTATGCTTAAAAAGAAAATCTGCCTTTTTATTTCTGATCTTCTATTTTGAGTTTTCAGAAACAAGTAATTATCTGTGTCATACTTCCCTTACTTATAATCATGCAAGTCATAGAAATAAAACCTGAACAATCTATGGAGGCTACACATTTATTTCTGTATTTTGATATTTCCTTTAAAAGACGTATATACTGCATCAACAGCACACCCCAGGTTCCTGAAGATCTGTCCCAGAAGTTCCTATTTGGCACCACTTTTGGAGACCCATAAATTTTCACATCAGTTGTAAAACTTCAGAACTTGGCTATTAGAACTAATTTTCACATAATACATTTTAAAGAAGTATCCAGTATATATTATATTGTCTTAACAGAAATTTTCTATAATTCTCAACAGTGGAGACATTAGTAAGTTGCACAACACATTAAAATGAAATACACATTTTTAGATTTCTCATCTTGTATAATATAGGGAGGGAGGGAGGGAGGGAGGGAGGGAGGAAGGAAGGAAGGAAGGAAGGAAGGAAGGAAGGAAGGAAGGAAGGAAGGAAGGAAGGAA